AAAAAGCTTCACAGCAAGTCCACATAGGTCTTTCTACGGGGAAGATGGCCGCGGTCGTGTTAGTCACCCGATATGGAGTTTGCGAACGTAAGCAAAATTTTGATGAACTTTCTGTTCGCGAACCGAATTGTTTGCGAACAGAAGCGTTCATGAACCGCGGTATTACTGTATTTGGGGAATTAAGCACAATGGTAAGCATGCAGGGATCAGTCTCAAAGCCCTTATTTCTTAAACAGGAACAGCCTTTTTTTTCCTAAAGACTAACAGCCAAGGTAATCCAACAAAAATAGCTTATCTTCAGCATATAACAAAACAAAGTTCGCTTGTCTTCAGCCCAACATAAAACAGAATCTCACATACTTAAGTCTTGCTCATGGGTACTGTGCCTGAGTCCCAAATCTTTTTATTAACTTCCCACAGGACAAACAGATCTCAGCAATGCCCAGTCCAGATCAGCACAGTATTCTCTGCACATCTGTGCTACTCCAACTCCTCCATGTGTTCTGTGGCATTTCCTGTGTTTTTCTAGCCACTTCCTCTTGCCTGACAGTTTACACTCTGTTGTCCTTTAAAGACACCACAACCCTTATAGAGGTGACACATACTGACCTTCCAGGACCCATCCCTGGTGTCCTGTACATATTCCCCCCTCAGCCTCAACGCAGAGGTGACATGGGACAGCCTACAATGTACCCGAGAGAGGTATCTCCCCCGGGTCTGTGCTCTACCATGAAGTTAAACTCATGGAGGGACAGGAACCACCTGGTCACTCATGCATTGGCATGTTTGTTCTGTCTCATCTAAGACAATGGGGCATGGTCTGACACCAAATTGAATTTTCTGCCCATCAGGAAGTATCTTATAGAGTCCAAAGCCCACTTTATAGGGAGGCACTCTGGCTCTACCACAGCATAATTTTTCTCAGCGGGTACTCTTCCCCATTGATCCCTTAAAGCAAGACAGCCCCTAAACCCTCAATCAAGGCATCTGTCTGTACTACAAATTCCCAGGAAAAGTCTGGAGCGACCAACACTGGATGCTGACATAATGCTGCTTTAAGCTTCAGAAAATGTTCTGCAGCATTCAACTGGATCATCACCGACTTCCTGCCTTTAGTCAAGTGAGTTAGTGGTGCAGCAATGGTGGCAAAATTGGGGACAAACCGCCAATAGTACCCAACTATGCACAGAAATGACTGGACCTGTTTATTTGTTAGGAGGCATAACCAATTCTGTATTGCTTCCACTTTGTTCATTTGGGGCTTTACCAGACCCTGGCCCACAATGTACCCCAGGTACTTGGCTTCCTCCGTTCCAATTGCACATTTCTCAGGATTGACCTTAAATCCTTCAAATCACATACCTGAGAGGAGACTGGTTGGATGAGCAGGCTTCCCTTGCACCTCGTGTCCCAAAGAATCTGGAGTTGGGAGCAGAATCTGAGTGGAAAGCGAGTGGCACAGGTACCAGTGCTGATCACACCGTGGAAGCTAGAGTCCAGAGACAGGATCAGGTCAAAACAGGGCCGAAGTCAAACCAGGCGGGCAGCGAGGTACAGAAACGGAATCCAAGATTGTGGTCAAACAAGCCAGGGGTCACACCGGTTGGGCAGCGAGGTACAAAGGCAGTAGACAAAGGCAGATCCGGTGAACAAACAGGAGGTTAAGGGGCAGGCAGCAATCAGGTCAAGGGTAATCCAGGTCAAAGGTAATTAAATCCAACAGTGTCACAGGAAATCACAGGAACTGGCTGAAAGACAATCCAGCAACTTGGAATCAGGCATGCCAGTTTAAGTAGGCTGGTCTATTAGGTGTCATAGCGTCATTTCCTGTGCGTTTTTGCACGTACGCTCCGATGCGTGCACATGCGCACGTGTGCCCACAATATGGAAAACAGAACAACGCACATGCGCAGTAACAGATTGTTTCTTACACCTTCTTCCTTCAAGGAGTCTAGCATGGCCTAAACAAGGGGCAGATGGGACTCCCAATCCGTACTGAAAATGACAATATCGCCCAGATAGTCTGTGGTGTAGGACTTATGGGGGTGTAGTGGTTTATCCATTGCCCTTTGGAAAGTGGCTGGGGCTGATTGTAGCCTAAATGGCATCCTCTTCTACTGATTAGTGGAGGTGGTTGTGGAGGTCTTCAAGCAGGGGCGCTTATTTGCATCGGAGTACCCCCTTTAATAGACGGGGCACCCAGATGCTGCCCCCCCTTGTGAATGAGCCTGTAAACAGAGGTTGTGCCGCCCCAATAGGGCATAGAATATGTTATTAGCATTGTTAAGTAGATAAGAATCATATAGTTTGTTTTCCCTTAATCATTTTCCTATGGCTATTCTATAGTAAGTTACATGCTGCCATCTAGTGGCCTTTGTGATATTGCACCTGTTTTTTCTGTATTCCTTTCCTCATGTGATGACACATTTCCTATGTGTGTAAGCCCCACCCTTCTTCTTGTTGGTCAGTATTTCCTGTGTCATGGCCACAGCTAACAGCCACATGTAATCAGGACACATGTACTCTGCATAGTACCCTAGGAAAGGCATCATCTTTTGACCGCATAATACTGTAACCATTCATCGCTGTTATCCTGTTGTCTGCACGTACAGAATAAAGCAACCCTTGTGGATGAAACGGTATTGGTGAGTTCAGCTATCTGACAATGAATGTCCTCAGGGATTGAATCTGCTTATACAGGCCAGGCATAGAGGTCTCAACAAGGGATATATCGCTATCACAACAATCGGAGTCAGAATAGAGGTGGAGCTAGCAGTGACTTCACCGCTGGCTCCACCTGTCTTGACATATGGCCGCACCTGTCAAATTTCTACTCCAAGTCCCAGCCAAATGAAAACAAATGGGCAGAGTCAGCCATGACATGTAGATGAATGGCGGCATCCTGTAGCAGTTTTACCATGATCACGAGTGCTGCAGTCGTTTAAAAACAGCCGTCAATGGCTGTTTCATATACAAGCGATCCAGCGCATATACAGCCACCGGATCACTTTTACAGTGCTCTGCTGTCCCATTTGATTGGAGAGAGATCAACACACCTCCAGATGCTGACCTCTCCTCTGATCACTGGACCAAGAAGTTATGTGTATTGTATCAATTCCAGTGCCACTCTGTAATTTCTCTGGCTGCTAGTCACATTCACATTTCATGTTTTTTTGCTTGCAAATTCGTCAATTGTAGAATTGACCCAATTACACTACAAACACATTTTTTATGCAATATACTTGGCCAGAGTCTGCACACTTACATGCGTGACAACCTACGCATCATGACCTGGGGTGCGCTTTGGCCGCATAGGACAATATGCCTAAAAGGAGGCAAAAATTACAGTAGTAGGGATTTGTAAACAATGCTTTTTTAATGAATATGATAAAACACTTCAATAAACTAATCTTGTAAATGCTTGAGCCATTTCTACTTGCAGGTCTGGAATATATTTGGTGTTTGAAGAGTTCCATCTCCCCAGATGCTTAATCACGTGTGGTGGGACGCCTTGAAAGCTGCTGACACTCAGGAAGGAATGACCTGAATACTGAGCCGGATTTAAGCCAAGGTAGGCTAGTAAAATGTGGCTATATTTAATAAATTGGTTGGTAGAGAAAGGGGCAACAGGAAAGGGGACTAAAGGACCCTCCCTGGAATGATGTGTGAGTGTCAGCGAAAGCTGATCAAAAACTGCCACTGGGCACCAAGCATTCTTTGTCTGAAATTTTTTTTAACCACGTGCCCGGGGCCCACTTGTCGGATTTTATTACAGGGCAACTGCAACAAGTATGAGTTATCCATCTTGCACAGGTTCTCCCTTCTGAGTACCTAGGCTAGAATGTGTAACTTGCCCTAGTCTTAAAAAGACCCATAAAAGGCCAGATAGATAAGCACCAAACTACATGGTGGGCCATGGAAAAGTAGCCTGCCTCCAATACTGGTGTCACGCTCTTTGGAGGGGGCCGCACCCCCTTGCTCTCTGTCTGGCGACGTGGTGTCGCCCCGTGTTCAGTGTTCCGGCTTTATTTTGCCTTCCTATTTAGTCATTCCGTGGACATACCGTCAGAAAGATGGAGTTCTCCCTGGAACAGCAAATAGTGATTGTGGAAGGCTATGTGCGAAGCACATCGATTAGGAAACGTAAGACGCCTTCGCCGACAAGTACCCAGGAACAAAACCACCAGCTAAATGTTGTATTCAGAGTCTGGTTTGGAAATGGCATCAAACCGGCTCTGTCTCAAACATGAAGAAATCAAGGCATCGATCAGTCCGAACGCCTGAAGTCATCAGCAGCGGATTGCAAGTAGCCCCCGAAAATCAATTCGAAGACTGTCTCAGCAAGTTGGTGCATCACCAACGACGTGTAGGCAAGTGCTGAAATCTCTGAACCTCAAACCATACCGAACGTGTACAGAAAGTGAAAAAGCTAAACGCGTAAATTACTGTAAGTGGTTGCTGAATATGATTACTGACCAACATTTGGACCCATTGCTGTACTTATGAGGTACTGGTCCGATGAAAGTCCCCACTCGACTCACGAAACACCACTTCACATCCAGAAAATTGGCGTTTGGTGTGCAGTGTCAGGAACACAAATAGTGGACCCAATTTTTTTTTAATCAACTGTGAATACAGCGGGTTTACCTTGACATCTTTGAACAGTTTTACAACCAACTAACACCAGAAGAAAATAATTACTGCGTTTTCCAACAAGATGGGGCAACATGCCATACCTCATGTGACTCACTGGCACATAATCATGAACGGTTTATGGAGTAGCAAACTGTGAGCAAGGGGTTATGGCCACCATGTTCCCCTGACTTGTCAACATGCAATTTTTATAGGTGGGAAAATTTAAAGCATAAAGTGTACACCAACAATCCACATACCCTGGATGAACTCAAGGGAAAAAAATCATGAACACTATCCGCAGAATCACTGTTGAAGAGCTGCAACCAGTATCAGTCAACACGCTCCGACGTGCCCAAAGGTGCATAGACATGAACGGGGACCACTTTCAGCATCTGTTGTAACTTGTGGGTAAGGGAATAAAAACAATCCACTTGCTTGTTTATCTGTTCATACTATCGCCAGAGACGGGCTACTTTTCCGTGGCCCACCCTGTAGTAATCATGCCAAATGTGGAGAGGGAAAGAACATCAGATAACTTGCGAAAGATGCCACCTGAAATGAGCAATCAGATTAATTTGACATGTTGGCTTTTCTGGATACACTTCAAAATGGCTTTAGCAGGGTGAGCAGTGAAAATGTATGGTCTATCGGGATCCTGTAGAGATAGGAAATGCTGCATCCCAGCCAAGTATAATCTGATGGTATTATATGATAATGACAAGACCGTGTGGCAATAAGAAATTAAAGCCAACATATAGTTAACATCCCCGTTGTTTACCCTCGGCTATTTGACCTGAAATCTAGAGTAAACAATATCAGGCTTTTTAGTATGCCCTCAAGGTATTTGTAAGGATCGCGGCACGTCCGTGCCTTCCAGGCTGGAACGCAGCCACAAACCAGGAAATTCTGAAAGAGCCGATGCGTTCCAGCCTGGAACGTCATCGGCCCGATGACGTCACTGGCACCTCCTCGTTCCTTCCGCCTTAAAACGCCGGCAGACAGTCAGCTCGGTGTTCCACTATAGCTACTGTGGAGTGAGCACCTGCTGACTCTGCCGGCCATTCGAACCCTGGACCCCCTAAACCTGGAAAGAGAGAGACAACCTGTGAGAGGATCAGAACACTGCCGCTTCCCCCTGCTCCGGGACGAACAGAGAAGCCTACAAACAGCAAGTATCTGTGACATCTATTACTGGAGTCGGCTCCATCTGCTGGTTGCTTCTATATTGCATCTGCTTGTCACCACTCTAACCATAGGAGAACTGTGAACTGCAATTACCTACTAAATATGTGACTGGGGAACCTTACTATAACTGATTGACTTCATACTGCATGTATGCTTAAATGTTGTACCTCCTGAACTAAACTCCTGCAAGGTATAGAAGGCTACCAAGGGACTGAGGTGATCTTGAACCTCAGTAATCCATTGCAATTATTAACCTCTCATGCTCCAGAGAATCTAAAATCTTCTTTCCGTGACCCTGCGTATGCTGGAAATACGCACTGGTCTCTAATACTACCCTCTTTTCTTTACGGTAAATGATGGTAGGACTCCTAACTCTCAATTGACGGAGAGAGAGACGCCAGGAGTCCGACACTGAATACCGTTCTACTACACTACCGGCTCCATTAGTTGTTCCGCAGCTGAGATTCAAACCCTGTCTGGCCAGGCCCTCACAGTATTTCTCGATAAAGACTTATTAACGAGTGATGCTGCAGTAAACGAATGACTGGAGTGCCCATCAGATCTGCGCCTAGATTCTGTGAAAATAAACAAGGAAAATCAAGATGAGACAGTGCATCGGCAGATACATTGCTCAACCCTTCCATGTACACACAATGAAAAAAGAACCCACGTTGTAACTATCCATGTTAGTCTACGCATAAAAGACATGATGACTAATGACTCCGACCAACCTTTGTTTATGATTTCAGCTGTTGCTAGATTATCAGTATTGAAGACCACTGTATTCCCTGACCAACAATGCCCCCAAACCACCATATATGGGATATATCTCGAAAAGTGCAGATGTCTGTGCAAATTTAGGGATCTGTAAAACGTCTTCTGGGCAAGAACTCGCCATCCAATGAGTGCCAAAAATAGCTGCAAAATCTACAGATGCTGCAGCATCTGAAAACACATGAGGGGAGGACATTGTGACCTGAGGCACAAACATGGATTGTGCCGCCCCAATAGGGGCATAGAATATGAGATGCATAGCCTCAGTTAATATTAGCATTGTTATATAGGTTAGAATTTATATAGTGTGATTTGCCTAACTATTTTCTCATAGCTAAATTCATGTGTTATCCTATGCTGCCATCTAGTGGCCTTTTGTTGTAATGTACATGTTTTTCTGTGATTCTTTGTGATGTCTACGATGTATTTCCTCTCTGTATGTAGCCCCACCCTTCTTCCTGTGTGCAGTACTTCCTGTGTCATGGCCACAGTTGAAAGCCACATGTAACAAGGACACACAGGTAATCTGCACAGTACGGAGGAAAGGCATCATTTTCTGACCGCACAATACTATAACCGTTCAACTGCTGTTCCTATCATCTGCTGTAACCTGATGTTAAAGAATAAACACCTCTTTTGAATGAATCGGTATTGACGAGTTCAGCTATCTGACGAGGATTGTCCGCAGTGAGTATATCTGCTTATACAGGCCAGGCATAGAGGTCTCAGCAAGGGATATATTTCGCTATCACAACGATCGGAGTCAGAATATGGATACCCCATTCCAACTTTTTAAAACCTAATTCCACATGAACAAATCAGCTTGAGCATTTGCATCCAAATGGACTGACGAATCTGATTTAGTGGCCTCCTGAAACAGGGCTAGTAGCCTGGAGATAAAAGACCTACCTTGTGGGATAATTCTCATTGCAAAATTGAGAATGACAAGTAGGGACTGTAATTATTTCTTAGTGCAAGCTTGAGAAACTATTAAAGAATAAATGACCAGTTTAATCCTATCCAGCTTTTCTTGGGGCAAACTGGCTTGTAATTTATGTGTATCCAAGGAAATTCCTAAAAGAGGTTATCACCTGACCTGTGCAGGCCCCTCTACCTTATGAGTGGCTACCGAGATATTTAACTGCTCAAAAACCTGCAATATTACCTGTAAATCTCTAGGAGCCCGTATGGGACTTTCAATTAGAAAGAAATTATCTCGGTAATGAATGACCTTCTGGCAACCGTGTAACTGTAACAGAATCCACTCCAGAGCTTGTGTCAAAGTATTGAACAACCAGGGGCTACTTTTGGAACCAAAGGTTAATTTAGTGGCAAAGTAGTATAACCCTTGCCACTTAATACCATGCCACTGCCACAGAGCTTGCTTGACTGGAAGTAATTTTAATGCATCTGAAATATCCGCTTTAGACAACCAAGAACCCTTACCTGTTTGACAAATTACTTGAATAGCCTGGTCCACCGAAGCGTATTTTAGTGAAAATTCCTCTGATTAAATAAATGAGTTTAGACTTGGAACGTGTGAGGAATGAGGAGCGTACAACTCGTAAATTAACCGAAATCTATTGAAATATTTGCCTTGAACCACTGCAATTGGACTGATCATCCATACATGAAAAGGGAGGAGATACAAAAGGTCCAATCATGAAACCCTTTCTTAATTCAACAATTCCACAACAATGTGTGCATATTTTTCCACAGACTGCAAATTTAGGCATTCATGTGTCTGCTGTGGCAAGTTGAATAAGCCAGTGTGTAACCTTGCTCAAAACTTTCCACCAAAAAGTGCCGGAACCGGGTGACTTTGTAAAAAAACTGACACATTGTCATGGGATGGGCTTGATAACAATTTGCGCAAACATGTAATAGCCTGCACTGGCTGTAATTACATGATGTGTAATTAAAATTATTACAAATTTGAGCCTTTCCTAGAAAATGTATGTGTTAGGGTACAGAGTGCCCCCAGGTGGCGCTGGAGCTAAGCCCAGCAGTTCCTGTGCTCACCTGCAGGTGTGTCCAGGCAGCCCGGAACTGTTAGATACCAGACCACCACTGGGTGGTGCTGGAACCTGCAGCTCCAGTGCTCTCCTGCGGGTGTCTCCCAGCTGCCAGCACTTAGCCATCACCTGGTGCTTCCTGGGAGGGTATTTGAACCCTCCCTGTAGTAAGGACGATGGCTCAGTATCTTGTTATTAGTTCCTGTGTATCCTGAGCCCTGTTACCTGTTTGCAGTCCCGATTCCTGCTCGTTGTCCTGTTGCCATTACCAGCTTGTAGTCTTGTTGACATTACCCGCTTGTAGTCCTGTTGCTGTTACCTGTATATAACTATTATTGTTCTTGTTCTTGTTATAAGTTATAGGTGTCGGGGGTCACATTACTTATTTGTGCTTGCTTTTGGTTGTTCATGTTATGTTTTGCTGTGTATAATAAACTATATACAACACATTTTGCCTTGTCCGGTGTGGTCATACGTATTTGGTCTTCCTGTGTGGGTACCTGCATACGGTGTGGGGACACCTGTGCCGGTACCCCTGACAGAATACTGAGCCCACGTAATGACCAAATCGACCACACAGGGACGTGCTGGCTTTTTGAGTTAATTCAGTGTCAAGATGGATCTCGAGAGGATGCGTGGTTATGTGCGTTTAGCATCCGAGTTATTCCAGGGCTCCCCCAAAGCAGACCTATTGGAATATGTCCGCAGGGCTCATCGTTTTATGGATATAACTGGTTGTCCTTTTTGGGATATCCAACCCCTAATCCAGATTTGGACCGAACTTGCTCTGAGTGGTGATAAGGGTGATGACTTCTCCCCTCCATTCACCCTGCCATAGGTTGTGCCACTAGTATGGTTTTTAGAGGATGATCCAGCAGGCTTTTTTGAACATTACTCTGGGTTTTCACAGGAGGAATTGTTGAAATGTATTGAAGCGGTTCAGTCCCTTATTGACCAGGGGGTATGTGAGAAAGCCTTTGCCCAACCCCTGATGTGGTCTGGCCCCCTTTCCAGATCCCGACTGGGTTTAACTGGGTTGCCCGGGACAACAGCAGTAACTGCTGCTGCTCCTGCTTATGACTGCTGCTCCCAGTTTGCTATAGCAACAGCTCCTGTCTGTCAGCTACACCTGTTCCCTAGTCCACCCAGCAAGAACCTGCACGTCTCCTGGCTACATCTCAGCTGGATGTGGAGGATCTTGAGGAATGGACTGATTGTTCAGAGGATGAGGATTGCAGTGACTGCTCGGAGGATGAAGCTGTGGATGATCATCTGGGATACTCAGGGTTCATTCCAGCTCAGCCTGTGCCAGTTCCAGTCCTTCCTGTTCCAGTCCAGCCTGTTCCGGTCCCGCCCGCTCCAGTTCCAATCCACCCGGGTCCAGCTGTTCCTGTTCCAGCCGATCTTGCTCCTGTTCCAGCCGATCTTGCTCCTGTTCCAGCCAATCTTGCTACTGTTCCAGCTGATCCTG